CGCACTGTGCGCTCGACATCCAGCTTCTACATGCAGCTCTTTTGCAGGAGTTGAGTAAGAGAGTGAAGCCGCGAAGTTTCCCAGCTGTTGAAGGGCCACGTCTTCCACGGCCCCATTACCTCGCTGCTGCCATGGAACGGTGGCGTGCTGAAGACCTGTCATACCCCCACATCGTACCTCACACATGTCGGCACTTGTCATACGATTTGACGTCGCATTATCAGATACGGTCACGAGCTACTGGGGATACGATCAGGATGCACGAAGACATTGAGCACGAGCACGAGTATGCATGTCATGTTGGGCGCGGCACGCATGCATGCGAGTGTACGGCGCGCCACGCTCGTTGATCATCGTAACACGTCTGGCAATTTTCTGGAACCAACGCTGGCGTTCTGGTCTACTGTCTCCCGGAAGTTGTTTGAGCTGAGAGTGGCAGTGCAGCCTGCTGGGGGCGTTGACCACTGGAGGCCCCGTGATTTCCTGAATTTGGACCCCCAGGCCCTGGCCGCCCTGGCTCAGCTGTTTACGTCGCGCGAGAAGGCCATGATGTGGCCCGCCCAGATTTTCTTGGGGATCATCTCCCTTTTACCCAAAAGCGCCCTTGATGAGCGCCCTGTTTGCAAGTGTCCGACCCTTTATAGGGTCTATTGCAAAGTCCGCGGAGTTTTCTTGGAGCAGTGGTCCAGGGGGCACATCGATGTTTGGGGCGACGCGGTCCGTGGGAGCTCTGCCCTTCAGGCGGCTCTTAGGAGGGAGATTTGTCACGAGGATGGTATGTGCGAGGGCGTCAAGGGCATGGCGGTGCATTGGGACCTCGCCAAGTTTTTGTTGACACGGCGGTCCCCGCGCGGCTTGTCTCTTTCGCCTGCGATCTCGAGTTTCCCCCTCACCTCCTCTACCTGGGCCTCCTGGTCCATGTTGCTCCGAGAATGTTGGAATCTACTGGCTTCTGTTCTGATACTATCGCCTCGGGCATTGGGGTCCTCCCTGGGTGCATGCAGTCCATGTCCTGGGTCAAGGTGTATGTGTACCAGATCTTGCAGGACGTGCACCATCGGTTTTCACCTGGGATCTCCACTAGGTCGCATGTAGATGATCTCGCCCAGGTGGCCCAGGGTAGTGCGGAGGAAGTGCGTAAGAAGATTGTTTGCGCTGCTGCACACCGGGGCCACTCCTTGGAGTCAGTGGAGCTGATTCTGTCCGACAATCTGCCATCGTGGGCAACAGCCAGCCGCTCACCCTCTCTATCCTGAATGACCTGAGGACCGCTGGTTTCAATGTGAACGCTGCTGGCGCCACTCGGGACCTGGGCACCTCTACCACTGCAGGTACAAGAAGGTCTGTGGCCATTATGAACAAGAGGTTCGTTTTCTCACTAAGTTGGCCAAAAAGGCGTGTTAGCTGTCGGTACCTGGGGGCATCAAGTGGTGGGGCGTTCTACGAACCAGGTCCAGAGTGTGCGAGGGCAGGCGGATGTTTGCTCTGGTTCTTGGCATGCTGGCGCATGCTCTAATGCTATGCTCGGCACTATGGGAGGGGGTCGTAGTAACCCTATTCATCGACTTCGTCGTGAGCATCGCGAAGGTTTCGCCTCCACTTGGGTCGCTCTGGGGCATTCGTTACAGTTGAAGGAGTCTGCTCTCTGGAGGGGCAAGGTTCAGGAGTTCAATTGTATCCCTGCCAAGAATATTTGGCGTCGAGTGCGTGGCCCTGTGGCCACTACTGTTGCAGTTCTGTTTGATCTAGGATGGGTTCCTCTTTCTCCTGCACGCTGGCGTGACGAGCGGGGCGCATTGATCCAGCTGTCCCAGCCCGAATTTCGCGCGCACCTCCGCCGCTCCATCCAGCCCACGTGCGTTGCTATTGTTTGGCGGCCAGCAGCACGACACTACATGGGGGAAGGAGTCGAGGGAGGTGTTGATTTTACGTGTTTTCATAAAGAATATCGGAAGATGGGACGGGAGCTGGATCATGAGGGGCAAGCTATTTTGATGAATACCGTCTCGGGAGGCTTTTGGGCGGAGCTTCGATTGCGCGAAGCTGGTTACGAGTCTGCTGCCCTAGGTGTGTGCGTGCGTTGCGGAGAGCAGCAGGAGACCCCGTCCCACCGTTGTTGCCAGTGTCGCATGAACGAGTTCAATCCTGACACGACGGTCGGCGACTCCGCCCACCTGTCCGAGCGTGCTGCTCAAGATGATTGCGTTGCCCTTTGGTGCCGCGGGCTCATGCCGCTTGATCGCACCACAGGGCATCCCCCCGCTTCTTCCGATGAGAGTTGGTTCTGGAGATCTACGGGGTAGTTTGGGGTATCGACGGATCGGGGGGGAAGTTTGCTAAGGATTCCAGACTAAGGAGATGTGGGCGGGCTTGCATGCGCCTGTCCGCTACCTTAGATGACGTCGATGGCGGACTTGCTGGCACGCTGCCAGGCCCCGACCAGTCGCATCCTCGAGCCGAGCTCCTGGCGCTGACTTTTGTTCTCAGGTATACATATGGCAGGGATTTGATGTTCAACGACTACCTTCCTCTTGTCCGTGGTTTCCGAAGGCCGAGGTCGGCCATGATAAACTGTGATACGGTTGATGTGTGGGTTACCCTCTGGAGTGTCCTGGATCGACGGAGTGGGGATGTGGATTTGCGCCGGACAAAGAGTCACCCCACTGAAACCCAAGTCAGCGCCCTCGGGTTAACCCGCATCGAGCGTTCTTTGAACGGAGCTGCCGACGCGTGTGCGTCTGAGGCTGCGAGGAGGGCTGCAGTTCCCGAGCACCTTTCGGCTCGGACTCTGTTGCAAGATGACCTCCACGTGGCCATCCTCCGACGCCTCGTGGCCATCCAGCGTGGTGTTTTCTCGACTTGCCAACGTGACGGGCCAAATGCGCGTGTGGGTAGAGACGAAGGTCTCGATCACGTGTGTCGGAGGAAGCGCAATTTCTCTGCAGCCCGTGAAGCTAGGGTGCGAGAGCAAGGCCATTGTCCCGTCAAGCTCCGCACCATGATCAAGTGTAGTATCTGTCGTGCTAAGTTCAGTGTGCGCGGGGCCGTTTCCGATTTCTGGCCCAGCGCGTGCACGGGCAGTCGTTTCGCCCGCTTCTCTGCCTCGAGGAGCGAGGATCAGGTTATTGGCCCTGGGCCGGAGGAGGAGGGCGCTGAAGCCCATCCTTTGGCCATCCACTGCCACGAGACCAATTCCTTGTCAGTGTTGAGTGGGATTTTGTTGTGCTCGACCTGTGGGTGTTTCGCGGTGCAACGCTGTCGCGGCCTGCCGGTCCAGTGCGAGCCTCCGACCCGAGCAGGACTACAAGTCCTGGGGCGTCTGGCAAGAGGGCTCCCGCCGAAGTCGGGAGTGTCTTTCCCTCGAGAGTGATGTGGCTGGGGCGGCCGAGCTCGCACTCGGGAACCGCGCTCTCACCATAGCGCCATAGCGCTCCTCCTCCTCCTCCTCCTCCTCCTCATCATCATCATCATCCTCATCCTCTTCCTCGTTCTTTTCCTCATCCTCATCCTCAGTATCCTCATCCTCATCTTCATCCTCCTTGTCCTCCTGCATCATAAGCATCATAAGCATCATCATCATCATCATCATCATCATCATCATCATCATCAGCAGCAGCAGCAGCAGCAGCATCCTCATCACCATCATCCTCATCATCCTCCTCCTCCTCCTCCTCCTCCTCCTCCTCCTCATCATCATCATCATCATCATCATCATCATCATCATCGTCATCGTCATCGTCATCGTCATCATCAGCATCATCTGCAGCAGCAGCATCAGCAGCGCATCCTCATCATCATCATCATCAGCAGCAGCAGCAGCAACAGCAGCAGCATCATAATCAGCATCATCATCGTCTCCGTCGTCATCATCAACGTAATCAGCATCATCAGCAGCATTGCCATCACCATCACAATATCAGCACTACCATGTCATGATCATCATCATCCTCACCACCGCCATCATATCATCAGCACCACCGTCATCATCATCAGCATCATCACCATCACCATCACCATCACCATCACCATCACCATCACCATCATCATCATCATCATCATCATCATCATCATCATCATCATCATCATCATCATCATCATCATCATCATCATCATCATAATAATAATAATAATCGTCGTCGCCAACGTCCTCATCAGCACCATCATCATCATCATCATCATCATCATCATCATCATCATCAGCATCATCATCATCATCATCATCAGTCCCCTCCTCCTCCTCCTCCTCCTCCTCATTCGCAACATCATCCTCAACCCCCTCATCATGATCATTGTCCTCATCCTCGTCATCATAATCCGCATCTACCGCCTCCTCGTCCTACTCCACATCCTCGGCATCATCATCATCAGCAGAATCACCACTATCGTCATGAAAATCATCATAATCATCATAGTCAGCAGCATCATCAGCATCATCATCCTTATCATCATCAGCATTGTCATCATCCTCATCATCAGCATCATCATCACTATCATCATCACCACCACCACCATCATCATCATAATCGTCATCATCATCATCATCATCATCATCATCATCATCATCATCATCATCATCATCATCGTCATCATCATCATCATCATCATCATCCTCACCCTCACCCTCCACCTGATCATCACCCTCCGCCTCGTCATCAACAGCGGCACGAGCATCGTCATGGTCATCATCAGCATGATCATCATCAGCATCATCATCACTATCATCATCATCATCATCATCATCATCATCATCAGCAGCATCATCATCATCATCACCATCATCAGCAGCAGCAGCATCACCATCACCATTATCATATTCCTGCTCTTCCTCCTCTTCTTCCTCCAAATACTCCTCCTCTTCCTCCTCCTTCTCCTCCTCTTCATCCTCCTCCTCCTCCTCTGCGCGCTCCTCCTCCTCCTCCTCCTCCTCCTCCTCCTCCTCCTCCTCCTCCTCCTCCTCCTCCTGCTCCTCCTCCGCGCGTTTGGAGGCGCCCGCACCATGCCTTGGCACGGGCGGGGCAAGTCCTCCGACTGCCACTCCTGGAGCGTCCGGCCCAGCCAGTCGCCCTGCCGCGGGGCCAGAATGCTACTCCTCCTCCTCCTCCTCCCCCTCCTCCTCCTCCTCGTCCTCGTCCTCCTCCTTCTCCTCCACCCTCCTCCCTCCCTCCCTCCCTCCCTCCTCCTCCTCCTCCTCCTCCTCCTCCTCCTCCTCCTGCTCCTCCTCGTCCTTCTCCTCCTCGTCCTCATTCTCCTCCTGTCATTTCACCCCGAGCGCCCCCTCTCTCCCTGCACAGAGCGCACACGGGTATTGGGGCCAACTTCGAAATGGTCTTGCTTGCGAGAGCCGACATGAAGAAGCGTGGAGCCCCACGTCATCAGCCACAACGCTGTGATCAGGCGCGTGAGCACCCGCAATGAGACCCGGTACCCTCCGTCCTCTCCTCGTCTCTCCCGTCGTCTCGCCCGTCCTCCGACTCTTGGCACGCCGTGGCGCCAGTCGCAGCGCCGCTGCCAGGCAAGTATGACGAAGCAGGAGCGAGACATCACCAGCCACAATGATGGGAATGGCGCGTGCGAGAAGCAAGCGAGCAGGGGCCAGCCAAGGTCAGCAGCGTCATCAGCTACAGCGCTGCGAGCGGCTCGTGCGCAAAAGCAGGCGAGCAGGCGACAGCCAATATCAGCAGCGTCATCAGCTACAGTGCTGGGAGTGGTTCGTGCGTAAAAGCAGTCAAGCAGGGGCCAGCCAAGATAAGCTCTGTCATCGGCGACAATACTGGGAACGGCTCATGTGAGAAAGAAGGCAGTGGCCGCAGGGCCGGTCAACGCGAGAATGCGGAAGGCAGGCAGTGGCAGCAGCAGTTGTCGTTGGCCGATGGCAACGCAGAAGCAAAATCTTCAGCTACGTTGCAGTGGGGATCAGCTCGTGCGAGAAGGGCGGGGGCTTGTTGGCGCGAGAAGCCAGCCGTTGAGGCCACGGCGTGCAATACCGCAGCAGCAATGAAAATGACTACGGATTTGGGTGCTTATGTTCCAGGCCAGTTCGGGCCCGTTTGCGACGGAACTGGCAGTGGCTGCCAGCGGCGGGTCAAATGTGAGCCCGACGTCTTCAGATACAGCGCTTGGCTCACCGAGTGCAGTGAGGAGGCAGACGGTGGCAGCAAGGGCTGCCAATGTCAATGCGAAAAGGCGGGCAGTGGCAGCGTTGTCTGCGCAGACAGTGGCAGCAGATGAAGTCAATGCGAGAGGGCATGCGGACTGGGGTGACATCGTGCGAAAGAACAAGCAGAGACAGACGCTAGGCAGTGCGAGTAAGACTGAGGTCAACTCGTGCGAAAAACGGGCAATGGCAACGGATGTTATCAGATCGAAAGAAAAAAAAAAAAAAAAAAAAAAAAAAAAAAAAAAAAAAAAAAAAAAAAAAAAAAAAAAAAAAAAAAAAACGAAAACTGCGAAACGCAAAGCGTGAGCCAATCATCGACTGCAACGCATGGTGGATCAGCTCATACGAGAAGGGGCGGAAAGCGCCCGGCATCAACCACAACGCGGGGAACGAGCGAATCAGTGGCAGCTTGGACTTTGGGTTCGAGAAGGCGGAGAAGCGGCAGCATCTGTCGGTGCGAGAAGGCGGGCAGTGGCAGCACGAACGCCAGCAGCTACGATGCTGGGAGCGGCTCGTGCGGGCAAGCTGGCAATGGCAGCGCGGACTGTCGCTGCGAGAAGGGAAGTAGCGACAGCCGGGCCTACCACTTCGAGAAGGAGGCGAGTGCAAACACGAGCATCATCAGATACGACATGCGGACCCACTCGTGTGCGAAATGGCAGGCCGTCGCGGAGGGCAATGCTGCCGAAAGATATAACTCGACAGACGAGCCAACAACCTGGAGGTGCCCGTGTCCCCCTCGTCGCTCCTCGTCACCACAACTGGGCCCTCGTTGCCGCGTGCGAGCGACAGCAAGGGGAAGAGGTAGCTGAACTGCGCGTCATCGGCTACAACTTCGAAGATCAGACATGGTCGCCCAGGACAGGCCTGGGGGTAGGGGCGGTCATTGCTTCGCCACCGTTATTCGTGCTTCGAATCTCTGGAGGTTCGGCCTGGAGGACTCTGTAGAAAACTCCTCCTCCCTCTTCGCTCCTCCTCCTCCTCCAACGCTGGAGTAGGAGAAGGAGGGAGAGAAGGAGGGAGAAGACAAGAGGAGACGAAAGGAACAGGAGGAAGCGGAGGAGGAGGAGGGAGGAGGAGGAGGAGTAGGAGGAGCAGAAGGAGGAGGAAGAGGACGTGGAGGCGGTGGAGGCGGAGCAGCAGCAACAAGGGAAAATGAGGACATCTCGCCTCCTCCTCCTCCCTGCTCCCCCTGCCGCACACCTACCTCCCCACCCCCCCGTCATTATCATCACGACCAGCACAACAACCACAATCCACATCATCACCTACATCATAATAACGCACATTGTCGTGACCGTTGTCGTCGTCGTCATCCTCCTCCTCCTCGTCGTCGGCGGCGGGGTCATCGTCATGGTCATCGTCATCGTCGTCGTCGTCATCATCATCCCCATCACCATCATCACCACCACCACCGCCACCACCACCGCCACCATCATCATCAGCATCAGCATCAGTACCATCATCAACATCATCAACAAGCACAGTATTGCCGTCGTTTTCGTCGTGGCTACCACCATGACCATGAGAATCATGATCATCACCATTATTAGCATCAACAGTTACAACATCAGTCATTGTCGCCATCGTCATCATCACCAACAGCATCACCAACATCACCATCGTCATCACCATCATGATCATCAGCACCACTGCCACTCTCATCATCATCACCACCATCATAATCATCAGCATCAGAATCATCATCGTCGTCGTCTTCATCATCGCCACCACAACCACCACCACCACCACCCTCGTCCTCGTCTTCCTCCTGCCTCTTAAGCTGGCAAGCGGCGAGCCTCTCCGCTCTCTTCCTCCTCCTCCTCCTCCTCCTCCATCCCCTTCCCTTATAAATAACTCCTCCCCGTCGCACCCCTGACACGTCAGAAGGGCGGGCCCGGCGCTTCGCCGGAGAATTCCTTACCACATATGATCCTGAAAATTGGAATTTGCAACAGTTTCACTAGAGCGCGGGCAGTGTTCAAAATGTGGCTCTCGCCTTAGCGCCGCGCGCATTCGTCTAGAAAGGTTGCAGCAGCTTCACGGATGGAGGGCGGCTCCTTTTCAAGATGTGGCTCTCGCCTCGGCACCGCGCACATTCGTCTTGAAAGATCGCAAAATTGTTCAAGAGCTCGTATGCCTGAATGCCACAGAAATGATAATCCTGGCACGATTTAGGATTGTCGGGGCGCAACAGTCATGAATAGCCGCGGTGCTGAATTCACAGGAAAGGCGTTCTGGCAAAGTCCAGGATTGTCAGGACGCCACAGTCACCTTGATCCGCGGCGTTAAGTTCCAGGAACGGTACTTTGACACGGTTGCGGATTCACAGACGGCTGTTTTCAAATGGGCCACTTCCCGCAATGCCAATACATTATTGTAGGGACCTATGTAGGAAGAACTTGGAGGGAGGGTTGAGTGCAATATCGTTGATGCGTCTTGGGTTGACGCTGGTCCTCCTCATCCTCCTCATTCTCATCCTCCCCCTCCTCCTCCTCACTCTTCCCCCCTGAGAAGGTTTTCTTTACAAGTAGCTCCTTCCTGTCGCACCGCAGGCCGGGCGTTTCGCCCGAGACTTCCTTCCCATTTACGAGCCTGAAGCTTGAAATCTGCAACGGCGTCACGGATGGAGGGCGGGCCGTTTTCAAAATGTGGTCGCCTGAGCGCCCCGCACATTCTTTGTAAACCTTGCAGTGGCTGGAGGGCGGTTCTTTCTAAACATCAGGATATCGCCTTAGCGCCACGCGCATTCGTCTTAAAAGTCTGCAACAACGTCACGGATGGAGGGCGGGTTTGTTTTCCAAAATGTGGCTCTCGCCCGAGCGCCATACACGTCTGTCTCGAAATTCCGCAGCAGCTTCACTGATGGAAGGCGGGCATTTATCAGCCGGTGGCCCTCGCCCTAGCGCCGCACACATTCAACTTACAAGGGTGCAGCAGCTTCGCGGATGGAGGGTGGTTCCTTTTCAAAATCTGGCTCTCGCCATAGCGCCGCGAACGTTCGTCTGAAAAGTTTGCGGCAGCTTCACGGGTCTCGTATGACTGAAGCCCCAGAAACGGCGTCCTGGCACGATTTAGGATTGTAAAGACGCAACAGGAATGATGACTTGCTGCCGTGAAGCCCCAAGAATCGCATTCTGGTGCGGTTCAGACTGTCAGGACGCAACAATTACGTTGATTCGCGGCGCTGAAACTCCAGGAATGGTGTGTGTGTGGCACGACTGAAGATTCTCAGGCGGCTGTCTTCCAATGGAGCAAATCTCGCAATCAGAAGAATCTCGGAGGGCCCAATAAAGAGGGAATGTTCAGGGAAGGTCAATTGCAACATCGTTGACGCATGATGGTTGAACTGTTGTTTCCCCTCCGTTTCCTTTTCAGCCGCCTTCCCAATCTGCCCTTCCCATCCTTTTCTTACTACTCCTCCTCCTCCTCTTCGTCCTCCTCCTCCTCCTCCTCCTCGTCCTCCTCCTCATCCTCCATGCCTTTTCCTTAAACATAACTTCTCACTGTCGCACCCCGAGGCCAGTTTTCAGGGCGGGCTGGGCGTTTCGCCTGAGACTTCCACACCACGTATGGCTCCGAAGCTTAAAACATGACAACAGTTTAACACATGGAGGGCGGGTCGTTTTCGAAATGTGGCCCTTCGCTTTAGGGCGGCGCACATTCGTTATAAAAAATGGCAAGAATTTCACTGGTTGAGGGCGGGTAGTTTTCAAAATGTGGCTCTCGCCTTAGCGCGGTGCACATTCGTTGTAACATTTGCAAGAAAATCACGGATTGAGGGCGAGAGGTTTTCAAAATGTGGCTGTCGCCTTAGTGCGGCGCACATTCGTTTCAAAAAATTGCGAGAGCTTCACTGATTGAGGACGGGTGGTTTTCAAAATGTGGCTCTCGCATTAGCGCGGCGCCCATATTGAGGGCGGGTCGTTTTCAAAATGTGGCTGTCGCCTTAGTGCGGCGCACATTCGTTTGAAAAAATTGCAAGAGCTTCGCGGATTAAAGGCGGTTCCTTTACATAATGTGGTTGTATCCGTAACGCCGTGCACATTCGTTCTAAAGAAATTGCAAGAGTTTCACGGGTTCCCATCATCAACGTGCCAGAAATTGCGTTTTGAAAGGATTCAGGATTATGCGGTTGCAACAATCATGTTGATTCGCTGTGTTGAAGTCCCGGGAATAGCGTTCTGGCACGACTCAGGATTGTCAAGACGCAACAGTCAGGTTGATCCATGGCGCTGCAATCCCGAGAACAATGTCTTGGCATGCTTCAGGGTCTTCAAACGGTTGTCCTCCAGAGAGGCAGTTCCTTCAGTGGACACCAACCGTTGTAGGGGCCTCTGAAGACGGAGCCTGGAGGGAGGGTTTATTCCAACATCGCTGACGACTCTTGGGTTTACACTGCTCCTCCTCCTCCTCATCCTCTTTCTCCTCATCATCCTCCGTCTCACCCTCCCTCCCCATCCTCCTCCTTCTCCTCCTCATGTTCCTCCTCCTCCTCATCCTCCTCCTCCTCATCGTCCTCCCTCTCCTCATCCACCTCCTCCTCCGCATCATCGTCATCACCATCACCATCACCATCGTCATCATCATCATCATCATCATCATCATCATCATCATCAGCATCATCATCAGCAGCATCATCACCATCATCAGCAACATCAGCAGCATCTTCAGCATCAGCATCATCATCATCATCATCAGCATCATCATCACTCATCACTCATCATCATGATCATCATCAGCATCATCATCAGCAGCATCATTGTCATCATTCGCATCAGCATCAACATCATCAGCATCAACATCATCATCAACATCAACATCAGTATCAACATCCTCATCATCAGCATCATCTTCATAGTCGTCATCATCAGCATAATCACAATCATCAGCATCATAATCATCAGCATCGTCAGCATCAGCGGTATCAGCATCAGCATCATCATCATCATCATCATCAGCATCATCGTCATCTTCAGCATCATCAGCAGCATCAACATCATCATCATCATCATCATCATCATCATCATCATCATCATCAGCATCAGCATCATCATCATCATCATCAGCGCCATCATCAGTTGCGTCATCAGCGTTGTCGGCATCGTCATCATCAGGGGTTGAAGTTTCCCAGACACTCCGACGACGAGATGGTTTCACAACATGGACCCCTGGAGGGCCCTCTTCCACTGGACCAGCTCTGCAGCTAGCCGTTTACTGACGGCCCCGGCCTGGCTAGGGCCCCTGGAAGCCGAAAACTGTTCAAAGCCTTCGCCCTGCCACTCGGCGGCGAGCGAGGGGGGAAGTGAGAAGGAGAAGGCCTTCTCAGAAGGCGGCGGGGCTTTTAAGAAACCCTCGCGCATTCTGATGGGTTCTGTGCGTCTTCGGGGAAGGCTTGGAAAGTTTCTCAGAAGGCCAGGAGACTTCCGAGCCTTCTGAGAAGGCCTCTTTTCTTCTCACTTCTCCCTGGGCTCGCCGCCAAGTTGTGTCTTCAATGCATTGGAAATGGATTTCGAACCTTCCGAACCGACCAAAAATACTAAAAACACATCTGCCTCGGTTCTTGTTCTCGGAGCGCAGAGGTCTGGGTCCTCTGAGGTCCGACGGTGCGAAAAAATGAAACATCGCGAAAACATCAGGACCAGAACCCTCGACCCCATGTTCCTGCGACATTTTTCGATCCGGATCCATATGTGATGGTCCTGGGGTCCGGAAACTGACGAAAACGCCCAATGTGCAAAAATGCAACGCCCAAATCTCAGGGTCTCACGGGCTGCAAGAGATAAATATGTTATGTTTGGGATATAACCCGGGCTATCCAATGGCAGGTACCAGCCGATAACCTAACCTTTCCGCTTTGGGTAGCCCCACGGATGCCCGCGCCCAACAGCACTGCGTCTCCTACTGTTGCTAACGATGCTGCGACGATGCTATTATCTTTGAGTTCCCTGCGCACCTCCCCCCTCTTCGGCCCTGCACAAAGGACAAAGTCAGGTCTTCGGGGGAAGGCTGAGGAACAAAAAAATGAATGAACAGAAACTCAGAAACTTTCGGAAGGCTGCGCTGATCTCCTGGAGCGCGTCAGGGGCGGCGCCGGAAGCGCCTCCACGGAGGTCCACCGCCGATCCGAGAGAGAAATCCGCCGGAACTTCGACAATTTTATGTGTATGTCATCCTTGGTTAACCGAGAAAGGTGGGGGCGGGCCAGACAGCCCAGGTCATCGCTGGACCTTTGAAAAACAATCTCCAACCCGGCGCCCCACCGAGCCCAGCCGGGCCTCGCGCGCGCCGCCAGCGAGCGGGGCGCGCCAGGGCCCCGCGGTGGAGCCAGCGGACTCCGCGCGGTCGAGCGAGCCGGAGAGCCTGCGTTGGCGGAAAAGGAGGACGACGAGGAGGAAGAGGACGAGGAGGAGGAGGAGGAGGAGGAGAAAGAGCAGGAGAAGGAGGAGGAGGAGGATAGAGGAGGAGAAGGAGGAGAGACGGAGAAAGATAGGGAGGAGGAAAAGGAGGGAGGGAGGAGGACGAGGAGAAGGAGGAGGACGACGACGAGGAGGATGAGCGAACGACCTGGGGGGAGGGCGCGGTCCCTCTTGCGCCCGCGGCCGCGCCGCCCGCCTAGGCCGCGGGGCCTACTGCGCCCGTAAGGGCCTGGATGTCAGAGTTGCTCGTGCGGACCAGGGCGTCGTTCACCGTGGAATTGGCCAGCAGGTCACCCGCGGAACCGGGAAGGGGCGAGCTGTGCATCGCAGACTCGGCGTCGCACGTGTCATCGTGCAGCGTTTCCGCAGCCTCTTCGCATGATGAACAGCATGATTGTCATCTTCACAATATGCTGCGTCGACGTTGCGATGCGCAGCAGACGGGGGGGCCATCTCAAAGGGCTCCATGGCCGCTCCGCCCACTCCGTCTCGTAGGACTCGAACTGGGACGCTGCGCGATCATCGCGCGCAGCGTCGTCAAGCTGAGCAGTAGGAGCCGCCGAAGGAGCGCCAGGCGCGGCGGGGCCGAAGTGGTAGTCGAACTTATCGTCGGACATCCAATCCTGGACGGCGAGCGGCGGCGGCTGCTCCACAGAAGGCCGTGCGTCCACGGAGACGTTCTGGTCCATGAGCGCGATCTCGTGACCAGACGGCGTCGGCGCCCGATCGGAAATTGGCAGCAGGCAGCGCATCGGGATCAGCTCGAAGTCGTCGCTGCCTTCGCTGCCTAAGCATGCGGGAGCCCTGGACGGGCCGAACTCGAAGAGCGGCGGGGCCTCAGGGAGGGCGACGGGGGCGCGCGGCGGCGGCGGCGCGCGGCCAGCAACGTCTGCGAGGAAGCACGCGCGCACGGTCGGGCTCATGCGCGATGGGTGGGTTGGGTCTCCAGTCACGAACCTAGCGATGCCCAGAGACACGCCGCGGAGATTCGCGAGACACCGGCGCTCTGCAGTTGGCCAGGGAGACGAGAGTTGCCGTCGAAGCTGCCCGCAGGCATAAGCCGAGTCGAACCATGCCCTCTGGCAGATCCCCCAGGCTTCCTTGCATCGCTGCTGGGTAGCATGCTGACGTGACTCTAGGAAGAGCGGGTCGAACGTGGAGCGCCGAAGGATCGGCGGCGATACAGTCGACGCACCACCCCATCAGTTCGCAAAGTCCGAGCCTTGGACGCTGGAACAGAAGAGCGAGGGCAGCCAACCCTGTGCCCATTGAGCAACGCGAAAGGCCAGATGGAAGCGCGCGCTGCAGTAGGCAAGCCAGAGACTCCAGACGCGCCAGCCTCGCAGGGCAGACGGAAGAGCCCAGAGAGCAGGAAGTACACGGGGACGTCGCAGAGCTGCGCCGCGGCGAAGCCGGCCTTCGCGAAGTAATCGGAGTAGCCCATCAGGGCCAACAAAACGGTCAGAGGCCGTAGAGGGGCGCGAGGCAGGCGGGATCGGCGAGTCCTCCACCACGACGACGTCATCGTTGAAAGAAACCGTTCTTGGAGCCGCGGACGGCAACCCAGCCGAAACAGCGGGTGAATGCGCGCGCGCCGCGCGGGCAGCCCGCCCCGAGATCCTCGCCACGGCAGCCCAAGCCATGAGAACCGCGACTTCCAAGGGATAGGGCAATAGCGCCCAGCGCGTCGACGGCGCGGTCGGCGAGGGCAACCGGCTGCTCCGAGGATGCAAACGCACCAGAGGGAGCGGTCGGCAATCGGATGTTCGCCACGTCACGGCGGCCCGAGATCCTCGCCACGAGAGCCTCCACCGGGGCAACCGTGACTTCTGAAGGATAAGGCAGTACGACCCGCGGCGCAGGCGGGGCGGCCCATTGCGTCGGCCCTCGAGAGCGACTGGTCACTCACAGTGGCGCTGTTGGTGGTCTGACACTCGCGGTGAAACGCATCGTCGCGTCGAGCTGCAGCGGCATCAGCGCGGGCAGGCAGCTTGATGGTGCGAGGCCTAGGGTTTCGCGAGCTCCTTCACCTAGATCCTGGCCTCGGCAGCAGCGAGGAGGTCATCGGGAGGGACGTGATCACGATGCCCAACATCATGATATAGCGGCGCGGCCAGAATCGCGAGCTCGACAGGCTCGACGCGCGGATGCAGGAGCGCGCCCACACCCGGAAGACGGCGAAGCAAATGTTGTAGCTTCCACCACGGTGCAGCACGCAAGTCAGCAAGCCGCTGCGGGCGCCATCTGGCCAGCCGAGTGAAGAGCGCGTAGGCAGGGCTGTGGGCGACGAGCATCGGGCGTCCAGGAAGGGCGAGGAGCGTCGAGTCGGTCACATGCTGCAGGATGGCCGGGCAGGCGATCTGCTGAGGCTGCACATCGGCGCGGCCAACGCTGAGGCGGCAGTCAACAGCGCGCCAAGCAGGCGAAAAGCCCGCACGCCGCGGCGCAGAAGCACGACCGCGAGCAGGCAAATCGAGCGTCTCCGCGATGGCGGGCGAGAACCACATGCCAGGCGATAAGCCCGCAGTCAGATCAGCAAGGGGGTTGTGATCCACCAGCCCACCGTCGAGCAGCCCCCTGGGGCGCGCGCAGGTGTTCGTGGAAGACCAGGCGCGCGCGCGTCGAAAAGCGGGGCGAGATCGCCTGAACCGCCGCGGACGCCGACGCAAGCTTGGAGGGGCGCCCCATTCGGGCCCAGCGGCGCGGTCCACGCGTCAGAGAGCACCGCCAGGGCGCGGGGCCATCTCCTAAAGACCACGTAGTCCGCGCTTGCCGAATTCAGTAAGCACGACGAAGAACTGGCCAACGCACGACAGCGTGGAAACGACCCGCGCGTCGCAGATGCGCCCGTCGATGGGCTGCGGCGCCGGCGTCATCGAGGGAAGACGGAGGCGCTGCATGCATTTCCGCCATGGGGCCAAGAAGGAGTCGGGAGACGCAGCCGCGGGACCTAACCAGCACCCCAAGCATATGTTAACTTGTAGGCCGCGTGGAAGCAGGCCCACCGCCTACCGCGGGACGCGCGAGGCCCAACGCGCACTGATCCGCATCGCTTTCCCGGGCGCGCGGGGCCGCCACTCGGCCGCGTCGAATTCGCGCGCGCGGGGCCGCCCGCCTCGGCGGCCCATCCGTCTCCGCGGCCGGGGCCCGCGCACCTCCCCCACCTCTGCCTAGCGCGAGCGGGCAGGGAAAGGCAAATCAGGCGCTTGGCGCTGCGCCGCGGGGGCGTCCGCGACGCGCCGCGCGCTCTTTGCCGCGCGCTGCTGGGCGGCACCGCGCGGGCCCACTCCCCCCCCAATCGGCCCCGCGCGCCCGGGCTTGCCCCGCCCGAAGCCGAAGCGGGCTAAACCGACAGGGAGCGGGGGCACCCTTGCCCCCCGAACGCGCGGCACACTTGCCCTCTGCCCAGGCGCGGGGAAGCGCCGCCGCGCGGCCGACCCGCGGGCACGGGGGGGGGGCCGAGGCAGGACTCGGGCCCGGCCCGCGCCTCGGAGAATTAGAGACGCGCACAGCGGGGCCGACGTGCACTCGGCAGGCACGAGTGCCGGGCGCGGCGCGCCCGGCGGCTGCCCCCAAGATCACGATGAGCTCGGGGGCGGCGCGAATCGACAAGGGCGCGCCGCCACTGCCGTCGGCGCAAGCGCGCAGAGCCGCGCGGCCCGGGGCGCCAGGCGCCGCGCGGGCGCGGCGGGGCGCCGGAACCAACGACAGAGCGAAGAGCGCGACAGACAGCACGCAGCCCGGATGATGCCACGCGCGACGCGGAACGTCGCGGCCACCAGCTGGCTCGAAATCGAGACGGCCGCAACGACGGCGCAGAGGCCCGGGGCCCTCCGCCGCCTGGAGGAAGCCTGCAGGAAAGCACAGTGCCAGCAAGACCCCCATCACGCATTCCTGGGAGAAGCCAGGGAACGCGCGGCCGAAGTCCAGGGCGGCGAGCAGCGGTAGTTCTCGAGAGGCCCCAGGGGCATGACCCGCGGCCCGGGCCAGAGCATCCACCTCGACGATGCGACGGGCAACCTGCGCTCGCTGCGCGATGGGCGAAACGGCGGCGTCGAGCGCGGCACCGATGACTTTGAGCGACGCGCCGCGAAGACCAAGCACTCGCAGGTAGGAGGCAGAGCGATTGCCGTCGCGCTCGTCGTCGCCCTGGACCCCATCGGGGTTTAGCGGCGGACCCGGCGCGGAGTAGTAGCAGGCTACTCATCAGCCAGGAGGCGGCGCCCCAGGGGAAGTCGAGGCAGCCGGGCAGGACGCGCCGCGCGACGGACGGGAGACCACGCGCGCCAGGCACCGGAGACGGGGAGCAGCCAAGCCAAGCGAAGAGCGCGCGGGCGGAGAAGCCCAGACCAGCGCGGAGGAGCCAAGCTGGTCACTCACGCACGCGCGCGCCTCAGTCACGCCGATATCCACATTGGACAAGGTGGGGCCTCAGCGCGCTGTGACCGCAGCGACCTTCTCCTCGTCAGTGGCGCGCGTGCGGGCGCCATCTACGATGCCTTTGAGGTTGCGCTTCTCGCCGAACGAAACCCGCGGGCGCGCGCGGCGCTCCGCGGCCTGCATCTGACCCGCAGCAGCGCCGCAAACCCGAGGAACGGCCTGGGCAGGAACGAGGTAATCAGCAGCGGCAAGTCGAGCATGCGAGGTCCAGGACTCGAAGGCCAAGGGGTCGGCGAGCTCCACTTTGCCATCAGCAACTCGCAGACATGCGCGCAGAGGTTCAGAAGCAGCGACAAGTTTGGCCGCCAGACAGCAGCCGTTGCGCCCGAGAGCGCGAGCAGCCTGCCGAGCAAGAGCAAGCTGACCTTCGAGCTCGCGCCAGCATTGATGAAAAAAAGATTGAGGGATTCCGCGGCGGCCTCCTCCATCAGGATCTTCGCGCGGTCGAGGCGAAGCGGATGCGCCATGGCGTGGAGCTCGTGGCACCCCCAGCCGATCAGGCAC